ACTGGTCATTGAAGACAAAAAGCAAAAATGTGTGTGCACTTGGCTGTAAAAAAAAAATACCTTGTGCCTGGTTGCGGGGTGAAGACCTGGGCAAAAATACAAGCGGCTCCTATGGGGGTAGCGCTACACTATCAAAGTACTGATAATGGTGTTTGGAATGAAGCTAAACGTTTGTTATTTGTACAAGATGCCTTTCTGATACTATTGCAATGGGATAACTGGTGTTTTGTGTCTCTTTTTCTCCAAAATGTCATGGCTGACCCATGAGTCCTTAACAACAACAACCTTTTGGGGTGCCCAGTTGGCACTATTATCAAACACCAGACCAGTGCAAGAATCAGGAGGGAACAGACCATCAGTCAATGGGACCACAGGTAAGAGTTCAGCTTCGCAGCCATAGCAAGGCAGGAACAGTCCACATGTCTGTAGGACTACAAGGTAACAGATTAGCTTTACAGCTGACTTGTGACACCTGAGTGCACTGTGAGTGGCGGAATTGGGTCTCCTCTGCATCTCTGCTTATCAGCAACCCCCCAACCTCTTGGGACACACAACAATTTGACATCTGTGTTGGTGCATGGCCTCAAACACACACTGTCTGCATTCAGGGTCATGCACCCACAAGCATGTCAAATTTGGAGCAGCGGTTGTCAAGGAGATCACCATGACCTGGGTCCTTGTAGGGGCCTGGGGCCAGCCTCCTTCCTATCGACTATGGATACAGGACTTTGGAGACCCCCCTCAGACCTGTTGGGGTTACAAATAACATTTCTCTCTTAGATTGTAAGCTCCAAGGAGCAGGGCCCTCCTAACCCTCTTGTATTGAACTGTATTGTTGCTGTATTGTTCCCCATTATATTATAAAGCGCTGCGCAAACTGTTGGCGCTATATAAATCCTGTATAATAATAAAAATAATCATTTCTGCTGCTTTCCCCTGGCATTATGTTTAGGTCACCCTGTATCCATAAAAGGTACAGGGTGTGAATCAAGCATGAAGGATTCATTTTTGGGACCTATTCCTGTTTTTTGAATAATGGAATTAACCTGGTTGACTCTAGGTGATAATCTCTAGCTTCACTTAAACACCTCAAGTCCAGGCTTTTAAATGCCAGAAAGGAACCCATTGTTCTTCTATGTTTGATTGTTTATGTGATTTAATTTTCTCCTAAAGCGTGTCATACCTGAACATTTTTTGTGTTTAAATATTCTGTGGTTTCTTAACCACCTCAATACTGGTTACTTTTACTCTCTTCCTGACCAGGCCAATTTTCAGCTTTCAGCGCTCTCACTCTTTGAATGACAATCGCACGGTCATGCAACACTGTACCCATATGACATTTTTATTCACACAAATAGAGCTTTCTTTTGGTGGTATTTAATCATCAATGAGTTTTTTATTTTTTACTAAAGAAAACAAAAAAAAAACTGAAACTTTTAAAAAAAAAAAAAACGCAGTTTTCTTAATTTCTGTTATAAAATTTTGCAAATAAATAACATTTCTTCATAAATTTAGGTCAAAATGTATTCTGCTACATTTCTTTGGTGAAAATACCCCAAATTAATGTATATTATTTAGTCTGTAGGAAAGTTATAGAGTCCACAAACCAAGGTATATACAGTATATCTGACAATGGATCAATCCTGATGTGCTGACGGCCCATCTCATTTCTTGAGGCCCAAAAACACCAGGAAAGTACAAATACCCCCAAATTAGCCATTTTTGTAAAATAGACTGTTCAATGTATTTAGTAAAAGTCATAGTGAGTTTTTTGGAGGTTGTAATTTTTTGTTACAATTTTTCAACACACTGTGACCAAAGCAATACAATGTTACCATAGTAACATTGAACTACTCTGGGCAAGTGATCAGGATTTTTGTTTAACACATTATGATTGCTAATACCAATGTATTTCATTGATATTTGCAATTATTGTTACTGAGTGAAACTGATTAATTCAGTCTTTTGTTGTGATTAGCTGTGATTGGACAAAGTTCATCACAATACAGATGGGCTGTGATTGGCCCTGTCTGTATCATATGACTGCTTTGACCAGTCACAGCTAACAACATAATTGTATACAATGGATGGCATAACAGGCTACGGGCCGGTGTAGTGATATGTCATTGGCTGGGTCCCGTGTCACAACGAGGAGTGTTCTGCCTGGCCGTCAATCTGCTATAGACCGGGCAGGAAGGTGTTAAGTCAGTCCTGTTTTACTTAGCATTGGTTCTGTCTGATGCTCGGGGTAAATTTGCTATCTACAGTCCTAACCTAATATACTGGTCCTGTTTGGTAATTAGGGAGGATTAGGCTGAACTTGCTATATTCTGGTTCCAGGGTGGAGGAAGGTGTAGTTTGGCAGAGATATAATGTTCATGCAGCTGCCACGTGCCAAGTGATATCAAACAGACAGCCTGCATTGGGATGCACAGACATCTGTGCATCCCGTTGCAGGTAAACACAGCCCTCACACAGATGTATGCTGTAGTGCGTTCCATGTGAACTTCAGCTAAGTGTGGTTTTCTGTTTTGTAACTACTTTGTAATACAATTACATATTAATAAAGAAATTGCAAGCTTCTGAAATCTCATCCAGTAGGTTGTTCCCTGCCATCTTAAACAAGGATCAGTAATAGTGCTTTCATGCAAAACCAATACAGGTAGCTTTACCCCTGGGAATAGATTCAATCAAATACTGGCACTGTCACCAGCACCTCCACAATTAATTTTAGCTGCTCTGTTAGTTGGACACTATGGGATTGATTTACTGAATAAGTAGAGCATGTTCACTTTCAAAGTGAATTTTCACTTTTCAAAGTGAATGCTCACTGAAACAAAGAAAAAATTCACTTTGCACAGAATATCAAATCATGTCCAAGGAAAAAAAAAATACATATTTGCCTGCACATGATAGGATGAATATAATCTTTTTGAAACTGCACTTGTGGTTATCAATGAACAAAGAAAAAGCAGCTAACACAATACAGTATGTGATAGCCAATGTAAATCATGCACACCAATTATTAAGTGTAGCCCTAATCAAAAACATACAGCCAGTGAAATCCTAAAAATACATTCATCAAGCAGGGTAAAATGCACAAACATGAAAGTTTAGTAACAAAACTGTGAAAAAGTCCTCATAATAATCCACCACATACAAAGTGCAACTCTACAAGAGTGATTTTCACAATTGTGCACTTCATGTAACCTCCACACCACCAGTGGCCAAACTGCAGGCTTAGCAGTTTGGAATGATCCTCTGAGTATGAGTGCTTAAAAGTGCTTACGGTACTATGGAAACCTGCAGCTTCTATTCCGATACTCCACAGAGACTCACATCAAATCTGCTAGTTGAATAACAAATAATGAGAAAAAAGAAGGGCCAGGAACCCAATAGTGTAATAGTGTCATCTCTGTATACCTCTAATTCACATCACATTGGCCTCTCAGCCCTCCAGTATTTTCTAGTGAAGGACAGCAAGCTGAATAGTTCACAAGCTGCCTTTTTGGTGGAAGCGGCCAAATGTATCTTGCACCACAATTATTTCATCTTTCAAGATACATTCTACCTCCAGATTATGGGCACAGTCAAGCTCCACCCCCCAGTTATGACAAGAATTTTTTGTGCTACTGGGAGGAGCAATTCATTTGGAATGACAACACCTTTGCCAAGCACTTGGTGTTGTTTGGCCACTATATAGATGACATTATCTTTATCTGGCAGGGGGATTATTATTATTATTGTTATACAGGATTTTTATAGCGCCAACAGTTTGCGCAGCGCTTTACAAAATGAAGGTAGACATTATAGTTACAATACAATTTGGTACAAGTGGAAACAGAGGGCCCTGCTTGTTAGAGCTTACAATCTAGGAGGAAGGGTTGAGTGATACAAAAGGTGATAGCTGTGGGGGGGATGAGCTGATGGAGGAAATAAATGGTGGTTTACTAGGTAGAAACAGGATAGACGTCTTTAAAGAGAAAGGTTTTCAGGGATAGTCTAAAGGTGGATAGATGAGACAGCCGGAGAGATTGGGGTAGAGAGTTCCATAGGATGGGAGAAGCTGGGAGAAGTCCTGGAGGTGAGCATGGGAGGAGGTGACACGGGAACTAGAGAGCAGAAGGTCTTGGGAAGATCGGAGAGAGCGGTTTGGTTGATATTTTGAGACCAGGTTGGTGATGTAGCTGGGGGCAGAGTTGTGGATGGCTTTGTAAGTTGTTAGTATTTTGAATTTTATTCGTTGAGCGAGTGGAAGCCAGTGGAGGGATTGGCAGAGAGGGGTAGCAGACACTGAATGGTTGGTAAAGTGGATGAGCCTGGCAGCAGTATTCATGATGGACTGGAGGGGGGATAGCCTATGTAAAGGTAAGCCAATGAGGAGGGAGTTGCAGTAATCAAGTCGAGAGATTACCTGGGAGTGAATTAGGAGCTTTGTGGTATCATTGGTTAAGAAGGTGCGTATTCTGGAGATGTTGCGGAGGTTGAGGCGGCATGATTTGGACAGGGATTAGATGTGGGCCTGAAAGGATAGTTCAGAATCCAGGGTTACACCTAGCACCTTGGCATGCAGGGATGGGTTGATAGTGGTGCTATTGATCCTGACTGAGAAATCAGTGGAAGAGGCACATGGGGGAGGGAATATTATGAGCTCAGTTTTGGATAGATTGAGTTTTAGGAAGTGGAGTGACATCCAGTCTGATATGTCTGTTAGTAAATTGGTGATACGTGTGGAAACTGATGGGGTGAGCTGAGGAGTAGAGAGATAGATTTGTGTGTCATCAGCATAGAAATGGTATTGGAAACCATGTGAAGCTATCAGCTGACGCAAGTAGAGGAGTAGAGAGATAGATTTGTGTGTCATCAGTAGAGATGAGTGAATTATTCAAAAATTCGGTTCGGCTGATTCGCCGAATTCGCCGATTAAATTCGCTTCGTGCCGAATATATTCACTGCGAATTTAACTTATAAAAAGGGTGTTTCTAGGCTTCAGAGAGCCTTTATATTAGTGCAGAACACTGTACCTTTAATTTAAATGCCCTTGGAGTCTGCTGGGGAAGACTCTTAGAATCACCGCACACTTCACTCATTTGGGCAGTCACGGGCCAAAACCAGAGTGTGGAGCCACAGTGTGGCGGTGGAGGCAGCAGCAATGGGAGGCCATACAGCACCCTATGACAAAATGGAACCCACCAGCAGTGTGAGGAGACCTGAAAGTGGCACATGGCAGAGTGTGGCGATGGAGACAGCAGCAATGGGAGGCCGTACAGGGACCCATGACACACTCTGGACCTGGCAGCAGCATGAGGAGGCGGTACAGGGGCCCATGACAGATTACGGGCCTGGCAGCAGCATGAGGAGTCGGTACGGGGTCCCATGGCAGATTACGGGCCTGGCAGCAGCATGAGGAGGAGGTACAGGGGCCCATGGCAGAGTGGCGGAGCGTAAGCAGCTAAAATTGAAGGCCATACAGAGGCCTATGTTAAAAAGTCCCCCCAGCAGCAGCGTGGGGAGACGACTATCAAGAGTCCAATGGCAGAGTGGCGGAGCAGAAGCAGCTTCAATTGAAGGCCATACACAGGCCTCGGTTAAAAAGCGGAAGCCGTCAGCAGCGTGAGCAGACGACAGAGGCACATGGCGCAGGGTGGCGGTGGAGGCAGCAGCAATGGAAGGCCATACAGCACCCTATCACAAAATGGAACCCACCAACAGTGTAAGGAGACCTGAAAGTGGCACATGGCGCAGGGTGGCGGTGGAGGCAGCAGTATTCGGAAGACATACACAGGACTAGTTTAAAAAGCGGAAGCCGTCAGCAGCGTGAGCAGACGACAGAGGCACATGGCGCAGGGTGGCGGTGGAGGCAGCAGTATTCGGAAGCCATACACAGGCCTAGGTTAAAAAGCGGAAGCCGTCAGCAGCGTGAGCAGACGACAGAGACACATGGCGCAGGGTGGCGGTGGATGCAGGAGTATTCGGAAGCCAAACACAGGCCTCGGTTAAAAAGCGGAAGCCGTCAGCAGCGTGAGCAGACGACAGAGGCACATGGCGCAGGGTGGCGGTGGAGGCAGCAGCAATGGAAGGCCATACAGCACCCTATCACAAAATGGAACCCACCAACAGTGTAAGGAGACCTGAAAGTGGCACATGGCGCAGGGTAGCGGTGGAGGCAGCAGTATTCGGAAGACATACACAGGACTAGTTTAAAAAGCGGAAGCCGTCAGCAGCGTGAGCAGACCACAGAGGCACATGGCGCAGGGTGGTGGTGGAGGCAGCAGTATTTGGAAGCCATACACAGGCCTAGGTTAAAAAGCGGAAGCCGTCAGCAGCGTGAGCAGACGACAGAGGCACATGGCGCAGGGTGGCGGTGGAGGCAGCAGTATTCGGAAGCCATACACAGGCCTAGGTTTAAAACTGGAACCCAGCAGCGTGAGCAGACGACAAAGACGCACATGGCAGAGGATGGATCTGGCAGCAGTATGAGAAGGCGGTACAGGGGCCCGTGGCACAGTGTGGTGATGGGGGCTACAGCAACTGGATGCCAGAAAGTGGCCGATAGGGCTATATACTGCATGACTACATAGGTGGTTTTTATAGTACTTTATTTTGGCCTCCCTCTCAGCAGGTGTGAAAAAGGCCACCATTTTTGAACGGTAGCGAGGGTCCAACAAGGTGGACAGCCAAAAGTCATCCCTCTGTCTGATGGTTATTATTCGGCTGTCGCTACGCAAGCAACCGAGCATGCTATGGGCCATTTGTGCCAAGGAATGCGAGGGACTCCCTGCCTCCATCTCCACAGCATACTGCCACGGTGCGTCTGGGTCCTCTGTCTCCCTCCTCCTCTACCAGATGCTCCTGCTCCTCCACTCCTGTCCGCTGAGTGGAAAAACCACCCATTTCACTCAATAATTCCTGAGCACCAATGTCCTCCTCTACCCTCCTCCTCTTCTTCCTGTCCTGCCCCCACAGGGGTTATGTGGCGTTGAGATCTGTGCGCCACGTCTACCGCACCCTGACCAGCCATTGTTAACAGCATTTGTTGTTCAACAGGTTCCATAGTCCTGCCGACTCACGAATAGCGTGGCCTCCTCAAAGGGCCTGAGCAAGCGGCAGGTGTCACGCATGAGCTGCCAATGGCTGACATCTAAGTTACACAGGGGAGTACCTTTATCCGCTTGTAACATCAGGAAATCGGTGATGGCCTTTCGCTGTTCGTAAAGGTGGTCTAACATATGTAGGGTTGAATTCCACCTTGTTGCAACGTCGCAGATCAGGTGATGCTGTGGAATTCCGTTCTCTGCCGCTGCAGCTCAAGGAGGGTGTGCTTTGCGGTGTAGGAATGGCTAAAATGCATGCAAAGTTTACGTGACATTTTAAGGATGTCTTGCAGTGGGATGGTGGATTTTAGGAACCGCTTGACAACCAGATTGAACACGTGAGCCATGCATGGCGCATGGCACAACCTTCCTTGACGCAGAGCAGACACCATGTTCTTTCCGTTGTCGGTCAACATGGTTCCGATTTTCAGTTTGCGCGGAGACAGCCATCTGTCGATTTCTCTGTTCATTACACTCAGAAGTTCCTCCCCTGTGTGACTACGTTCGCCAAGGCATACCAGGTGCAGCACAGCGTGACACCGTTGCGCCCTGCACATGTGATATGCCGGTCGGGGGTAATGGAACTTGGCACGGGGGTGGCGGCTGAGGACACGGCGGAAGAAGAGGTGGTAGAGGCGGACATCTTTGCTGGACCAAGGACGTGCAAACGTGGAGGCAAAAGCGGCGTGACCTGTCCAAGTTGCTGGTGCAGCTGTGCCGGCACCACGTTCACCGAGTGGGCCGTAAATGACATGTACTGTCCCTGACCGTAGTTACAGCTCCACACGTCGGCGCTGCCGTGCACTTTGGCAGAGACCGACATGCTCAAAGACTGGCCCACCATCTCTTCTACATGTGAATGCAGGGCTGGCACTGCCTTTTTGGCGAAGAAATGCCGGCTTGGCACTCTCCACCGCGGCTCGGCACAAGCCATCATTTCTCGGAAAGGTGCTGAGTCCACCACTTGGAAAGGGAGGGACTGCAGCACCAGCAACTTGGACAGGAGGACGTTCAGCTTCTGCACCGTCGGGAGCGTGCTCGCAAACTGTTGTCTCTTGGAAACGGATTCCAAGAAAGACTGCTGACGGAATCCGTGAAGAGGAGTAGCAGGAGAAGGAGCATCTGAACAAGCGGAAGATGCCAACGAGCGACAACTCCCCTCAGCAGAGGTGTTGGAGCCTTGACTGGCTGATAGAGGGCGATTGACGTCGGGTGACGGAGCAAGTAACGGAGCGGGTGATGGAGCGGGGGCTGGGGCAGGCAGAACCGCCGTATCTTTATCACGGTTTTCCCAGGCCACCGAATGGCGACGCTGCATATGCTGACGCAACGCTGTAGTCCCAACATTGGCCCCCTGGCCACGCTTGACTTTCTGGCCACATAGTCGACATACGGCTACGTTTACTTCCTCGGGCGGCGTGACGAAAAATTGCCCACACCGCCGAGTAGGAAACTTTGCCCCCGCTACTCCTCACTGGCTGACTGCTACTTCCTCCGTGCACACCGGCACCACTACTGGCCGTGGTGGTAGGCTGCAGTGGAGCTGGTGCTCTACTCCGTGGCCGTTTGGCTCCACTGACACTGCTGCGACCCTGCTGCCTTCTGGGCAACCCACCGACTGTTTTGCTCGCTGGCAAGCTGGCACCCTCTTCTCCTGATGATGCGGAAGCAATAGCCTGATGACGACGAGGCTGCCAAGTGCGATCAGCCTCATCATCATCAATTAGGGTCTCCGCGTCACTACTAGCCCCCTCGGCTGCGTGTGGGTCAGGAGACAGACCTGTCTCTAGACCGGCTACCGAGCCACTCTCCTCGCCAGTACTTCTTCGCCTGGCTGCTGAAGAGGCGGATGTCTCCCCCCGTTCCTGACCGCCCTCTGTTAGCTCTTCCTCACTGTACAGTGGGGCTGAGCCCACAGCATGCGATACTTCGCTTGGTGAGGGAACACCAAAGGACAGGGGCAGGTCGAGGACACGTGATTTCAGTGGGCTTGCTCCCGGGCCATGCCAACTAACGGTTGTGTCTGACGTACCCACCGACCGTTGGCTGTAGGTGTCAGAGGTGACCTGGGAAGAGGAAGACGACCGAGTCAACCAATCAATGACGGCAGGGTTGTCGGTGGAGACACGACCGCTGGATGACACCGGGAGCACTGGCCTCTGGCTGCGACTAGTGCTGCCTCGACCCCTTCCTCTGCTGCCACGTCTGCTCGCTCCTGAAACATTGCCTCCTCTGCCACTCCTCTGCGTGTTGTCTGACTTACTCTTTAATTCAATAAGCACCCCAAAAATAAAACCGGGTTTAACTCTTTGAACGTACAATAGTGGTTGTGAAGCAGAAAGTCAGTTTATTTAGCACAATCGGTCAATTGCAGCTTGCCGTTGGCTGTAAACTGTACGTTTATGTCACTGGAATGCACTAATCACCCAAAAAATATTACCGCCACCCGGCGTGTAAATGGATCTAACTCTTTGAACGTACAATAGTGGTTGTGAAGCAGAAAGTCAGTTTATTGTACACAATCGGTCAATTGCAGCTTGCCGTTGGCTGGAAACTGTACGTTTATGTCACTGGAATGCACTAATCACCCAAAAAATATTACCGCCACCCGGCGTGTATATGGATTTAACTCTTTGAACGTACAATAGTGGTTGTGAAGCAGAAAGTCAGTTTATTTAGCACAATCGGTCAATTGCAGCTTGCCGTTGGCTGGAAACTCTACGTTTATGTCACTGGAATGCACTAATCACCCAAAAAATATTACCGCCACCCGGCGTGTAAATGGATCTAACTCTTTGAACGTACAATGGTGGTTGTGAAGCAGAAAGTCAGTTTATTGTACACAATCGGTCAATTGCAGCTTGCCGTTGGCTGGAAACTGTACGTTTCTGTCACTGGAATGCACTAATCACCCAAAAAATATTACCGCCAGCCGGCGTGTAAATGGATTTAACTCTTTGAACGTACAATAGTGGTTGTGAAGCAGAAAGTCAGTTTATTTAGCACAATCGGTCAATTGCAGCTTGCCGTTGGCTGGAAACTGTACGTTTATGTCACTGGAATGCACTAATCACCCAAAAAATATTACCGCCACCCGGCGTGTAAATGGATCTAACTCTTTGAACGTACAATGGTGGTTGTGAAGCAGAAAGTCAGTTTATTTAGCACAATCGGTCAATTGCAGCTTGCCGTTGGCTGGAAACTGTACGTTTATGTCACTGGAATGCACTAATCACCCAAAAAATATTACCGCCACCCGGCGTGTAAATGGATCTAACTCTTTGAACGTACAATGGTGGTTGTGAAGCAGAAAGTCAGTTTATTGTACACAATCGGTCAATTGCAGCTTGCCGTTGGCTGGAAACTGTACGTTTGTGTCACTGGAATGCACTAATCACCCAAAAAAATATTACCGCCAGCCGGCGTGTAAATGGATTTAACTCTTTGAACGTACAATAGTGGTTGTGAAGCAGAAAGTCAGTTTATTTTGCACAATCGGCAAACTGCAGCACCAACTGTGCACGACAGCCACCAAAAAAAAAAAGGGTGTATGTCACTTTAAATTTTCGATTCTTTGATAGCTGTGGCCCTGAGTAACGATTCTGTGTCCCTGAGTAACGATTCTGTGTCCCTGAGTAACGATTCTGTGTCCCTGAGTAACAATTCTGTGTCCCTGAGTAACGAATCTGTGTCCCTGAGTAACGATTCTGTGTCCCTGAGTAACGATTCTGTGTCCCTGAGTAACGATTCTGTGTCCCTGAGTAACGATTCTGTGTCCCTGAGTAACAATTCTGTGTCCCTGACTAACGATTCTGTGGCCCTAAAGTCTCTGTGGCCCTAACTCTGTCCCTTAATACAGACAGGTCTGTCTCTCTTGAATGACCGGAGGCTAATGGAGAATTCTAAGATGGCCGCGATTTATAGCTCCACCATTACACAGTGCTGGCTGGCTGCTGATTGGCTAATGCGATCACATGTCATGATTCATGACTCATGAATGCATTATGGGTCAGCGCGCCTTGTCTGCGCGCCTTCCCAGAGATCCCCGCCCCATCTTCTCTGTCCATTTTTTCCTGTCGCCACAAATGTCGCCGCCATTTTTGGGAAAATTCGATTCGTACATCCGAAGTTTGCTAATCTTCGGATTCGTCGCGAATCAAATTTTTCCAAATCTTCGGAACGAATTCCACTTCGTCATGTTCGATTCGCTCATCTCTAGTCATCAGCATAGAAATGGTATTGGAAACCATGGGAAGCTATCAGCTGACGCAAGGAAGAAGTGTAGATCGAGAATAGGAGAGGTCTGTGGGGGAAAGGGTTAATTTCTTATTCCTGTCTAAAGCTACTTTTATTAATTCTAATATACAGTTCAATGCCCTGGCTGAGGGAAAAAGGTTATTACCCAAGACTTGACGGTACATTGCCCCGTCCATCATCCCTTTGATGCGGTGCAGTTGTCC